GAGATCCTTTGTGGCTGAGAAAGTCTCAAAGACGGCGCTCAATCGTATGATTGGCTATCAGAATTACCGTGTGCTGCTTTGGGCATCCCTTGGCCGCATCGAGTCTAGACCACTTGGCATAGTCATGGCAAATTCGCTGTGTTGCGGGCACATGTAAGCCGTCCTTAGACAATTCTCCTCTTAAGGTTCGTTGGTCGATCAATATCGGCCAAGTGGGATATACTAGAGCCCTTGTCCCTGGTGAGATTTTGAGACGGGAGCTTGGGAATTGACCGGCGATCCTTCGAAGGATTCTGCCCTACAGCGCTAGTCGGTCAAATCCCAGACGATAGCCGGAACTTCGGAGTGATATCCAGCAGGCAGCGGCAACTTGGGGTTTGGTTTAAAACGGTTTCTCCCCCATCGAAGCTTACGCAAGTTCCAATCTTACATGTTTTCCTCGAAATGGACGCTTCGCATTTGCAACCAAAGCCCGCTGCATCGAGCTCCGACTCCATGTCGTCGAGTCCAGACCCGGCGGATGGGCTTGCCCCGCTGCCGACCGTGTGGCGCGGGAAGAAGAGGTAACTACGCCACACGTGCCACCGTAACGTCGTTCTCGTCTAACATGGGTCTGCAGACTCCCGGGAATGTCTCCCCAGATGGCTACGTTTTCTCTGGGGAAGCGACCACGAGTTAAGCGAAGTTGTGCGGGCAAAGTACGATCGGGCTGCATTACGTGCAAGTAAGTTGCCGCAACATCTTGGCTCGTATTCGATGCTGACCCTGGACGTCTAGACGGCGACACATCAAGTGCGATGAAACTCGTCCCTTTTGTCTGAAATGCACCAAGTCGCCTCGAGGGCCTGGCGTATGTGAAGGTTATGAATTCCAGCAGAAGCAGCCAGATCGTCAAACTCAACCACGCCTAATCATCTCCAAGGGAACTTGGCGGGTCTGGCCTGCTGCTGTCCTCAGGGAACCCGGCTATGAGTCGGCATTCTTCAGCAACCCGCAGGAGAAGGTCTACTTTGACTTTTGGCAGCATCTCGTGGCTAATATCTACCTCTTCCCCAACGACATCATGGTCCGCGTCGTCCCGCAGCTCGCGCGTCGTGAGCCAGCGATCAAGCACGCCGCCCTAGCCATGGCCGGAATGGCCCGCGCCCTCGTCCCATCACTCATCAGGCGGTCCCGGAAGGAACTCCACGCCAACGGACCGCACTATGAGTTCGCTCTACAACAATACGGCCGCGCGATTAAGCTTGTGCGCAGTTCTCAACCATCAAGCGAGAATATGCTCTGGGCCATCGTCTGCTGCGTACTCTTTGTCACGTTCGAGTGTCTCCACGGCGACCGCAACGCAGCACTGTCGCATGTGAATCATGCTTACAAGATGATGGAGACCTACTTCAACCAACGCTCCATGGTCGAGGACGGTCCCGTGACGGACTCCATCCGCGCAGTGTGTGACGATGCTGCGTGGGTGTTTCAGGGTCTGACGATGCAGGCCTGGTCACACAATGTGTTGCACTCCAAGGATGCTACGCAAATCAGCTGGTGTTGTCGGGGCAGCAAGCGTACTTATGCGGTCGAGGAGATGCCAACCGTCTTCACAGATGTCCACATGGCACGGCGTTGGTGGAGGGTCGTGCAGCATTACACGTGTCATAGATGTCCCATCTACACGGAAATGTTTGTCGACGGACTCTCGAAAGAGATGCTGGTGGGCAGCTATGTGCGGCCAGCTCTGTCTCCGAGTCACCTGGATGAGCTGGCCACTGTACTCCCTGAGTTCCTTGGCCATCTACGACGTTGGCAGAATGCCTTTCAAGGTGTCTACGATACCCTGCGGGCGAACCAGGAACAGGATTTCCACGCCTATGTGGATGCCTGTAACTTGCGCGTACAGTACCTCACTCTCTGGACCGATGTCTCAAGTTTGAGTTACAAGGATATCAAGGTGATGATCATGCTGACGCCATCATTCCGCGAAATGGTTCAGCTCAGCCGAATCGTTCTTTCGGCGCAACAGAACTGCGGCGGATGCACTGAGACATTCAGCATGGACAACGGTCCTACTCTACCGTTGTTGATTGTTGCGTGTCGATGCCGAGAAGACAGTGTGAGACGAGAGGCGACAGAGCTGCTGGGCAAGTACCATCGCCGAGACGGGCTTTGGGATAGTAGGGCTTTCCACAGCGTCGCGCTGAAGAATGTGGCGATTGAGAATGAGAACACGGCTGAGGGAGACGATGTTGAGCAGTGGTCACGCATGTCGAGACGCGAGGTGCGCTTCAGTCGCGAGGGGGATGTGTCCGGCAGAATGTTCAGATGGCAGCCGGATGTGAAGGAGTGGAAGCACGTTGAGGAATCTTTGTCGATGATTTGCTGGGAAGTAGTTTCGCCGGCAACATAAGTAGCTTCGTGAATCAATGACTAGGAAGTAGACTAATGCTGACCACCCGTCAAGTGCTGCAAATCACCTGGAACTCGGCTTCAAAAGTTCCTGAATCCATCGTTTCATCTGGCCGACAGATGCCCTTCTCATCACGCAGATGCAGTTCACCGGCCCTCTGCAATATCCAGAGATTCCAACACCACCTTTCTCATGTCCGAGGTGATGGAAATATGATCGAGACTGTCGCGGGTGGCCCAAATCCCCATCGAGTGCTCCTTCTTCTCAACTTGGAACTCTGTTCCTTCGACAGTAACTACGTAGCTCAGCTGGAGAGCATGGCGCTTCACGATCTTCTCTTACTCCTGTCGGCGTTCTCTCGATCTTCTCCGTGGTGTATCCGATGCGAGATAACGGAGTGTTAATATCCGATACCTTCATTTTGGTCTCTTCGATAACCTCGCGTATGATGGCGTCACAGATATTTGGGTCCGTTGCGTCGACCTTTCCTTCGGGTATTCCGAAAACGCCTGGATAGTGTTTCTCGTTCGAGTTGCGTTTGAGGAGGAGAAGGATGCTGGGGTTTGAAGTGTCACGTCGCAATATCGCAGTGCCAACTGTCACTTTATCAACTCGGGCAGAATCGCTTGCGGTGAAGTGAAGCTTGGCTTCATCGCGTGACATTGATAAAAAACTCCATGCCTCGTTCGAGTTTATGTTCACCTATAATTACAAGCTTTTTCGTGACGATCTTCCAGACTTCAGACGTCGACCAGTCCCGAGTGGTACTGACATGCAAGTGAAGTAGACGAGGACGAAAGGAGAAAATGAGGTAAAGAAGGGCAGCGGAAAATCGAACTTTATGACTACGTTGGTCACAGTTCGCACTAAGGGGAGTAGTAGTAATAAGGTGCTAGTGAGCCTTCTGACCTAGTGTGGCCGCGAAAATGTAGAGCTATCAAGGTAGAAGAACCCTTTGGACTTTATGACTGCATGTGATGGCTATATAAAGGCATTGCTACATGCCTTCCAAGCATTATTTTGAAAGATTTAGAAACTAGCACTGTCGTAAACCACATATTGTCCAACCCACTAGTGGAGTTCTTCTATCTTAAAAAGAGGCGGCCGCAAGATAGGTTTTGATCCTTGATTACGTTCACAGAGTTCCTGCAGCTCCGCACCGTCTTCTTGGAGCCAAATGGGAAGAAAATCCCGAAGTAACACATCAAAACCCTTTGCACCGCTTTCTTCATATGTGTTGGCATGCCTCATTTCGGACCAGATCCTTGAGGAGTCATCAAGAAAATCGTTTTCATCCCCGTAGTAGAAACTGCTAGCTTCGTGCCACTGGGACGCATCATGCCACCAGAGGAATATTCTATCGCTCTCGACGTGGACCCAAACGATGGGGTCCGCACCATGGAGTAAAAAAAGCCTGAGGTAGGGCACCCATGATTTGAAAAGGACTATGTTGGCGATGGATACAATAATCCATGATCGCCAGCAAGTTAAACTCATCTTCGATCGAGTTGTGAGTAGAGATAGCCCATTAGGATCTGCCCCTGCTTCAAAACATTTGGAGATATACTCGCATGTCCTCATTTCATATGATGTCTTTGTCCAGTCCTTTTCGAAGGGAAAATCAAAGATCTCAGGTAGGCAGAAGTCCAGAAGCATGTTGTAATACATGTCCCGTTTGCTTCGACGTCCCAGTTGGTAAAACCCACTATCCAAGCTGATCGGCCATGAGTCTGCCATAAGATCGACGTATACAGCAATACCCAGGCTTCCATCAGTCTCTATGGCGTAAAGTAGTTCGGATAGATCGAGTTGAAACGTCACTGCCCGATTTATGTATGGTCCGATGCTTGGAGTCGGGGTTTGAACTTTCAGAATGCGGATCAGTTCTTCGCAGAAAGTCAGTAGCCGATCTTGGGCCAACTCGCGGAATACAAAGCAAATCCGAACAAAATGCTTTATCCAAGCCGCCATACTTCTCGAGACGAACGACTTGCAGGGACGAGATAGTTTCAAAGATGCCAAGAAAGCCTGGAGTCGGAAATCAGCCAAGTCGAAGGACTGGGCTTCGGCGTCGATGAGACTTTTAATGTGTGGCTGCGACAAGAACTCAAACACGGATCGATGTGTGCACACAACCAGCTCGTTGGAAGGGTGTTCATCATTAAGCTTGCCAGGGTTGTTGTACCACGCATGATTATGCAGAAATGCACCGTCCGCCTTGTCGATGATCTCGAGATGGCCTTCTCGATGGATTCGTGCAGTTCCGTTCTGCAGGCTGCTCTTGATTTCGCTATTGAGATTTTCGTTTATTTTGTACTTGTTCTCGTCCCGCCATTTGATTTGCTCGGAAGCCCGTGTAGACCTCAAGAAGAAGTCACATACACCCCTCATCAACCGTGGTCGATCATCGCCTACAGAAAAGTGTACCTCAAGAAGGCCCATGCAACGTTGGTAGACCAACCGTCTAGCTCTGTCTTGTCTTGAGATCCAACTTCTATCGGCGTCTTTTGTGGTTGAGAAGCTGAAAACGAAGTTGGGATCCTTCTCATAGTCGCCTAAGAACGAAAGTTCTGTGAGTAGCAGGGGAGGACCATGGTAGCCATTACGGGATTTCTTCGCTGCAAGGAGAAGTATTCGCATCGCCCTCATTCTATCCAGTCTGTTGGTGTGAGTCCCATCTCTAATGGAGGCTAGTATAGATGCGAAGAGTTCTTCAAGGCCTACAGGCAATGATTTGAGTCTTGCTTCGAGATCCTCCAGTCGCTCACCGGAAAGAAGATCCCACTTAAGACCTCTCAATGTAATCTTTACCCAGAGAAACACGCCTTCGGCTTTGTTCTTGATCTGATCTACGAGATGCTCAACTCCTGGGTTCTCCGAAGAATATGATCTGAAGTCTTCATTGTCGGATAATTCACTGTTGATGTACGCTTCGATATCTCGGCTCGTAATGTCTTGCAGGCGAATTCCAGGGCAGTTGACTAGCCTCTGTCGAAAGACCTCCCATTCACGGCTTGAAACGCACAGTTTTATATCTTCTGGGACACTCTTAGACCAATTGCGAAGCATCTTCATCATTTTGTCGTGGTCTCCATCAAATTCATCTAGGCCGTCGATGAAGATTGCAATCTTGTGTGTGGAAAAGAACGCCGTGTGTTGCAAAAGATGAGAGAAGGCAGACTCAATCTCGGAGCTCTGGATTGAAAATGCTTTACCTTGAGAAGCTTTACTCCACTGCTTTGGAAACACGGTCTCGAGCAGGGCGGGGGCTTGCTCCAGAATAGAGTATGAAAGCGCCCGAAGTAGTCCATCTAATGACTTTTGAGCTGTGGACCCAAGCTTCCAGAAGAAAAAGTTTGCCAAAATCAGCGTCTTTTCTCCAGCCCAGTCTTTGAGATAGGATTCCGTAGCTGTACTTTGGCAGAGGTACTTCATAAGTGTCGATTTTCCTGCACCAGGTTTGCCAGAGATATGGAAGATGCCTCCTCCACGACCTAACCAGTCTATCAGATCTTGTTGTGCTTGAAGCTCTCGAGCAGTTCTTTCTAAGGATATTTGTGACTGATAATCGGAATCCTCGTAGGAAGAGTCGTCTGATGATGTACCAGCGCCCGGTACCTCAAATTGATCGGAGTTCTGGCTGCCTTCGTTCGGCGACTCATTCTCTCCTCGAGACACATGGCCTGAGCCATCGCTGTGGCTGGACTCGGACCCATCGCTCGAATCGAAATCGCTTGTGGACGGTGTGCACGAGCCCAAAAGCCAGGAGAATGTCTTTTCGTGGGCGCGTTCAATCTCATCGAACCTCCTCGTCATGTCACCGACATACAGCTTCTCCAAAATCAAGCGCTGGGCAGTGCTTTCGACAGCCTCCTTCGAGCGGGACAGGATATCGTGGACACTTTCCACCAAACCCGGAACATGTTTCCATAGCTCGATGTTGGACTGCAGCCCCTCGATATTTTTGCCCAAATGCTGCATTTCAGTCGCGTTGATGTGTCCTTGGGCCGAAATTTCATCGAGGCGGCGACTCAATTCCGCTCTAAGCAAATGAAGAATCATTAGTAGGTGCACGCGTCTATTTCCTTGTTGTCTGATCCAAGCTTCTTACCTCGTTATTTGAGTGAGTTGCAAATGGATCCTGGATCTGCAATCATCCAACTCCTTCTGGAGTGTCTCCTTTTCATTCTTCTTCCGAAAGTCCTTGACCATCTTGGATAGAATGTGGCGCTTTTTGGTTGACTTGAGCCCAGCCAGGAGGGTCATCAGCTGAACTGTGTGGCTCTTGTACTCCTCAACAAGATCCAGCAGCTGGGCCTCATTTGTATCCCTTGGCGCACCAATACCCTTCGGAGTGAGTCCCGCGACGTGCTCCTCGATAAGCTTAACCCGACGCTCCAGATCAGCATTGTCTTTGAACGTCGCGGACCCGGTCCGCCCAATCTCCCGTGCCACCGTAACATTCTCGGCCGCGAAGTCGACGAACGTGATGATGGCACTGACGAGGCCGATGATCTCGAGTGGGGTCATATTTCCGTAGCGTCAGGGTCGTAAAGCCAACAAGGGGGAGGAAGGAAGGTGCTGCCAAGTTGCGTAACAGTGCAATTGCGTCTGGGGCCTCAAAGCGCGCATCCGCCAGGAGCACGTGGGAGTATTTCGTCGCCAAACGTTGTCGAGAAACGAGGTGAAGCGATCGAAAGTGAGGGGTATTTGGGCGAAACGTGACTGGGAGGGGAATAACAAGAAAGTCGTCTTGAAGCAGGCTCACTGTCCGACGATTCTGCCTGCAGGATACGTCTTGAACGGGCCAATGATGGCAAGAGCTGAAGCGACGAGGTTGCTGCAAGTTGCTATTCTCGGTGTGAATCTGACCAATCGCAGCTTCCATTCTGAAAGTGAGGCATACTTCCCATGCGACCAACGGCGAGACGACATTGCCTCTTCTCTTGTGCTACCTATAAGCTACCCCGTCGTTGGTACTGTCCTAAGTATCTCATTAATTGCTAGAGTTGTCATTACATCCGTCTCTAGTCTTTCTCTAACTTTTATTTTATGTCTGATTATTCGTGGACGAATATGGGGTGAAAAGGGTGGGATAGCTATACTATATAAATAGGTATATACATATGTATTGATGCTATCTGGCAGCATGGGACATTTTATCTCACAGCTGTGACGTTTGATGAGATAAAAGAATTCATCTCTACTACAGTCACACCCCTTCACTGACCTTCGTACGCCCTTAATCCGAATCAATCACGATAACCTCAACCTCCCGTACTTCCTTCGAGACACGTGTTGATACCTCCGCCTCATCCCTCTTCCCAAACTCCATCTTCAACCGAGCCTCCAACCACCCACCAAATCCAGCAAACATCCCAACCCCCTTCCACCTCTCGCAAAACGCCCTCATAACCTCCATCCTCTCCTTCTCAACCTCCCTCATCCTCCCCTCCATCCACCTCCCGCCCCTTCCCCCCTCAACAACACCCATCTCCCCCAAACCCCATATGAACTTAGCCTCACAAACAGGACAAAAGTACGGCGGCTGTCTCGAATCCTCACCTAACCCTCCCGTACCCTGCATGACGCAAGCGTAGTACACACAATGATCCATCCCAAGACAGTGACCAACCTCATGAACCGCTGTCCTAGCAACACGTGAAAACCACATGCCGTACAAATCCTCCTCCGCCTGCTTCTTATTCCGCGACACCTCCCTCGGAACAAGAACGTTCCTCGACACAGAAATAGCAGCGCCCATAGCCGTCCCCTTCACCTTCCTCAAATCAACAAGAACCTCCTCACCACCGCCCTCCTTCTTCCCCTTGCCCTTCCCTTTACTCCCCCTCTCATCCACCTCCATCCCACCTCCCCCCTCTCTCACCCTCTCCATCTCCTCCTGCTCCTCCCACCACTCACACGCCTCCCTCACAAACCGCCCACAATGACTCGCAGGCCACCCATGCCCCCTCTCCACACCCATAACCCCATCCATCGCCGGCCGATACCGAAACGAACTCACAGTACAAATCCGACTACCCCCAAACGCCCGTCCACAACAAAAGTCATCATCTTCGTCTTCGTATAGATCCTGCGCGATAAGCATACACGCGGCATACGCGTCGCCCGGGAGAACCCCTGAGAGGGCGTCGAGGAGGTCGTTGAGGTTGAGTTGGTATTTTGCAAAGTCGTCGGGTGACGGGCGACATCTGATTCCGACGACGGAAGATCCTGTTGCGAGACCAATCATGAATGTCTTCTTCTCCTTCGCCTTCCCCCGAGGAACGCCCTCATCATCCCACTTGACAAACCTAAACGCAGTAGGAAGAACCTTCGCCGGAAGAGGATGATAAAACGCCTCAAAATACGAGACCACATCCTCCACCTTCGGCTGCTCCAAGCCATCCGCCGTACCGCCCTCCAAAACAGGAACCTCCCACTCCCTCATAAACCCAACTTCCCCCTCGACACCCGGAAAATCGGCAACATACAAAGTCTTCCTCCCTCCTGTAATCCGATTCCTCCACTCCCCGGAAGCCCACGCCCGCAAACTCTGCGGCGGATACCGCGGTTCCAGCGCGAGGTCGTCGTCGGGGAGGACAAGCGGGCCGGGAAAAGTGGAGGGGTCAGGCGGTGCGGGGACGTCAGATCCGGAGCCGGATCCGGCGCTGCGGCCGGGGTTGGAGTTGGGGTCGGGATTGGAGGTACCAGCATCGGCATCGGCAACCGGGATAACCCTCCCAGACCTCGTAGTCGCCGCGACACGTTTCTCAACGGGTACGCGGAGGAACCCTGCCCTGGAGCGGCCGTAGGCTGAGGCGTCGACGACGATGGATGTGTGTTGGCATGTTTTGGGCTGTTTTCGGGGCGCCATGGTTATGTGAATTTGTAAGGTGGACGGTCGAGATTCCAAAGCGCTGACGGGAGATGCGGTGAGTTGCCTTATAGACGTCGTCCTCAACTCTCACGTTTATCGGCTTTGCTGTGCCGTAGGATGAGTCATAAACGAAATCCCAAGTTCAAAAGCTCGACTTCACCATTGTTCACGAAGCGATTCACGAAGACGTTGAGACGATACTTGGTGGGGGGGCCCAAACGACCCCGCTTTCGGCGCTGCTGCCTACGATCCGGAAAAGCCACCAGACTCAAGTCGCCCTCTGCTGCCAATCTTTCACCTCACCTAACCTCACCTTACCTTGCCTCGAATTACCTGGGCTTGCTAGCTAGCTCCTCAAGTCCATAAACCGTCTACCTAGAACAGTCCGCCTCGCGAATGTCGAAAGCGAACCATGCAGCCTTGCCTTACGTTTCGCAATTCATCCCAGTGCGAACCATACTCAAAGTTCCCAGGGACGTGAGAGAGACAGAGACGCCTCGTCCTGTTTGCGCCTCCGTCGCCCAAGAGCATCACATCCAAACCCACAATACCTCCCTCGCAACGCCGTCATTCGCAGCTCTCAGGCGTATACCAGACCATGCCCCCGAATCAACAACAACGAGCAAAAGACCGAGGAATTCATGCAAAAGCGAAAGGACGTCCGGGAAAGCCTCTTACATCACATCCCATCCGGGCAAAGCGTCTCGGTCCCAAAGAACCTACAAACCCTCACATATCCTATCCCTCTCTCACCTTCAAAGATGCCACAGCTCAACCTACCTTCGGACCCGGCATCCGCGGAATCTCTCCCCGTTAGGCCTGCCAAACCCTCAGACGAGGGGGGGGGGGGGGCAAAATACTGCTCACGCTCATGCTCAGACAGCGACAGACAGGCGCATAGATCCTCTCGAACCCTCAATCTTCAACCCTCAAAGCTCTACCCGCGGAGAGAACCCTTATCAGTCTTTTCAACCAGCAGCCCAGCTAAGGTAAGGAACCGTGGGCACCAAACGGGAATAAAAAAGGGACCAACAAAGGGTAGTCAAAACGCCCACCAGCACAAAGAGCGAGAAGGGAAGAGACACCCGCGCTCGGCCAGGTCTGGACCTCATCCTCTGTTGCTGCCTCGAGGCTTGTGCCCTTCTGCCCAGTGTCTCGCAGCATTCCGTGCATGTGCCGCGCGAATCGACATGTCGCCTCCGATGTCGCGCTTGCGCTTGAGCAAACAACTCAGCATAGACCTCTTCCTCCTTCTTCTTCCTCCTCCTCTTCTCTGGGATAATTATGTTGCAACGGATAGACTCACTCATAACCACAAAAGAGCGATGCCGCGCCCGCACCGCCGGGACCGCAAATCCTTCCTCCTGCAACCACATGGACCGCGCGACCCCACCACCGCAGGACTACCGTCCGTCCCGCAATCCACATCCGCCGTCCGCACCCGCCGGGTCTATCGCAGCGTGGCATGCCGAACCTGTCTCCCCGTCGCGTCTATTGCAGAATCTGGCATCGCTCCTCCTTCGCTCTCCGGAACCAAGCCTCATCTTTTCGCGGGATAATTATCCCAAGAGCAATGATCGTGTCAATGCCACTCTCAAAAGACAAAGAGTCCGAGCCTTCAGGACTCACCAAGGCCCAGTCGCTCACCGATCAAGCTTGACCCATCAAACGCCCGCCATCTCTGCCCTTCCCGCTCGTCCCGAGGCACACTACACTGCCCATCAATCAACATCTCGTCACCGATTGCGCGCCCCGTCCCATCCCGTGGTTTGCCTCCCGTTGGCCGGGCGAATGACGCGACGCCACAACATACTTGGACATCCAGAAGCTAAATAGCAACCAGGCCTTGATGTATGCCTTCTGCCTCGGGGGTAAATTCCTCCAATCCATCCCCCTTGATGATTCGCGCGCATTGAGGTTGTCCCACATCCAGTCGAGTAGTCGCAGCCAACCATGCCTCGGTAGAAGTTTGTACGCGTCGTCGCGCGAAAGGAACCAAAAAAGCTAGACCGTCGCAAAATCTCGTGTAAAATATTAGTGACAACCCAAAGAACCATGAAAACACACACAAAGTGTGTAAGCTCACCACACCATACGCGTCGTCGCCCGCGTCGCGGTTGGGAGTTCTCGACTCTGTAAGAGCAAAGCGCAAAAAAGTTTCCCGGCTCTGAAACCAGCCCGTCTTTCCCCGGAATCCCACCTCCGCGAACCGCGGCACCAACCACTCTGACCGAGCGCATCCCACCCGCATCAACCGTGGTGAACACCCAACACCAACGTCCACACCCCCTCCATCCCGTCCTTTCCCCCCCACGGAGGAGAGACGAACGGTCACCCCAACGAACAGATGCCGTCTGCAGAACATGAGATTATTTCGTCTCTTCTCACCATGACGGGAGGAGCGCAGAGTTCAGCTCGCACGTCGCAGGGTCCTGCTCGTGCCTGAACCTAAAAAAGAAGACAAAAGAGCCCTGTCCTGCGATGCTGCACCCGAGGCACAAATCGGACGTGGCATCGCTGCTGGCCACACGTGGTCCAATGGGGGAGCGAGGGTACCTGGCCAGTGACGGGATGTGATGTGATGGCCGCGGCGGCAACATCACCACCAGCAGCAGCCGTGGCATCGTGTCGAAGGATCACCCTCATTCCCGATAGTTGTTGAGCGGCAAAGTAGCAGTGCACTGCGTTGTGCCTGACATGCCGTTGGGCAAATCCTTTCCCCCGTCCGCGGACTACCGCCAACGGCCACGACGCTGCATCTCGAAGGGTGCCAGTTACAAGACGTTGCGTCGTCACCAACGACTTGCCCTTCACCGGTTGGGCCTCAGGTGAAGTTACAATACAAACCGGACCAGGGCCTTACCAGTTGGTAGCATTCTCTCGATCTGCCTAGGCCGGACCGAAAAGTGAACCCAGCTCGAGGTTTCCGCAACCAAAGTTTATCGCTCGATATTCCCCATCAGTGCGCCGTCGTCCCCTTACCCCGAGATCACATATCGATCGATTCCGGGGTTTCGAATGTCTCGCAGCGAAAAGCACAGCATCTCCTTGGTAAGACGTAGTAAGGTAGAAAGTAATCTGCTGCTTTCTTCTTATCGCGGGTTGACGGGCGATCACGGGGTCTCAGACATTGGTGGCGCCGAACCTTTGCATCAGCCCGCAGCATTCCTCGGTCCCGAAAGGATAAAGATGAAAAAGAATTCCCCGATTGAGCGTGCGCGCGCGCCAGTCCAAGCTGCCACGAGGGCGCAGTCTGTGAGGTACGGGTGGTTATTTGGAATTAGCATCGAATCCTCTGCTCTACATGCGCCTCGGTGTAAGTCAAACATAGGGCAGACAAGAGTCCCAACGCGCAAGACTCGGCCATTCGCCTTTTCGCGCGCAAGTTGCTGTCGCTTTCCTCTTCTATTGGCCAGTCCGGGCTTCAATGTCGGATTCTGGTCTTGCTGGCCCTGTTGAGTAAGGTATTATTGATTTGACTTTGACGCTGCAGCGCCCTTCCTTTGAATGGAGAAACGCAAAGAAGAGAAAGACTCTTCCATAGCTCCAAAGCGGGAATTGGCTTTTCATTCCTCTCTCTCAATTGACTTTTCAGCCCTCAAAAGCGCCATGAAGTGTTTCCCAGGCATCGCCGCCACCCACCCCAATATCGGGGATCCTTGGAATCCAAGTCATCGTCGCAGGAATGTTCCTCTAAAGATTTTGACAGCTATTTGCGGTCACATCGAATTCCAGCCATGCTCCCGCTTTGGGAACACTCGCCCGTGCACACACGCAATCGTGACACCAACTGTTGGCGCCGATGTCTCCCGCAACGCCTCGTGGCATCGTGCGACGGAGTCCCAAAAGAAACACCCCATTCTTTGCCACACGCCGCACCATGACGATGGATGGCCTGGAATGAGAGGCGAAACCGCCCAGAAGCGCACCGAGCTTTCCGGTAGGAAGGCCGGGAACTTCGTGGTCTTCTGTCTAGGCGGCCTGTTTGACCCGAACCGCCTAAAGGCCATCCATGTCTTGTTGAAGACGACCTTTCATCTCATTGAACGAGTAAATCATCCACCTTGTGAAATTATTCGCCGTTATTTCCCTCGTATCTGCCGGCATCAACTGTTGGGAGTTTAAGTAGACCCGTGAACCATCATCATTACCAAATAGAGGAGGGGGCGCACGCGACATCAGCATCATCCAGGTGTCGACAGCCTGGTTCCGAGGGAACTGTAAGCCGCTTCAACGGATGGCTTACAGGTAAGGACGCCACGCCCCTCGCTAGCCACCCTCTTTCATCCCAAACATAGAAGTAACCTACCGCCACTGTATCATCCGAATTTGGATTCCGTCGGGACCGGAGAGTGAAAATTCTGATCCCTTTTTTGCCTTTTTCTGTTGAGATTCGAGTGCCGACCTTGGCTTGACGGCTTGCCTGCGGTGATGGGTCTGTGGCTTGCCGCCGACCGATGACTTCGAACTTCGAGAAAAGTCTCGCCGCATGCAGATTTTCCCAAACCGCTGATGTCCAACTGTAAGAATGGAAGTACCTTTTCCATTTCTTCTTCTTCTTCTTCCTGTTTGGCCGAGTCCAGACCGGTCCAAAGGCACCGATCTTCCACGCACCCAGGCTCAGCTCAAAGGCCAAAGAAGACTCAGGCGAGCCTCCGCATCGGCCTTCTGTTCGGTCATAATCCCCCGTCAGAAATTCAGAATCATCGGGCCCCCACCCGGTCAGCCGGCTTCGTTCCCTGACATGGATGTATGCAACTTTTTCCAGTTCACATGTGAAGTGGGCACAGCGAAGAGGCTGTTGGATGAGGGATCCTTCTTCCTGTGGGCTTCCTCGATGCAACCGTACTGACAGAGAAAAGAATTGGGCGGTACTGCTGCAAGGTGAGGCTTCCACGCGCGCTTCTACCGGAGCCCTAAGGCTAGAGCCCAGGCACCGGATGGTATCCGTCATGCCCGTCACCGGCCACCCGTGTCTTCCCCTCTCGCTTCCGTCCCCTCTGCATTTGGTAATTCAGCATCGGCGAATGGACTGCCAATCCAACCCTCCATCAGGGCACGACTAATGCAAGGGACGTAAGACCAAGGGGGAAAAAACCTCATCTCCAATCCAGGTACCGCACCGGCGGGCTTGAGAATATCGACTCAACAAGTGCGTGCAGACTGCAGAGATTGTGACGCTGCACACCCTCTTCCGTACACTAGACACGGCTGCACCAGTTAGGTGTAGTAGATGCAAGCTTTGGGTACAATCAATGGCTGTGCTCTCATGAGGGTGTCGAACCCCAGGTGCCTCGGTCGGCCAGGTTCTGACCGGCCCCAAATTTCTCGAGGCTGGCCCGTCTCCGGTCGACGGCGCAGCCTCGAGGACTATTGGGGCAAGCGCCCACGAGATTTGCGCCGCTTGCCGGCTTCGAGAGGGGCGAACAGGTAGACCGAAGACCGAAGACCGTTGGAGTGAAAGCTCTCGCCTTCGCTACACATTTTGCCCAATGACAGGCAAAAGGGACGAGAGCCAACGGAAATAGCAGAATGGGCTCCCTGGCCCGCACAAGAGAACCCCATCCATCGTGATTATGATACAATCACATCTCATTAGATCGATTAGCCAACAAGATGTCGTCAGATCTTAGGAGGCAATGGTTGGGCGTGCCATGTCCCTATCTGGTTCCACCGGGGCTGGCCGGTATCCCTCTTCGCGAACCACGCCGTTTGCTGAGTGAACTAGGGCTTGAGCTCAGCGGCGTATGTACGGACGGTGTTAGGTCAAGTCAGAGGTACCAGGCAAAAGTGTCGAGCATGCAATAAGCGAGCAAGCCTGTTCCGCTGCAGCAAGGAAGGATCTGTAGCCCCACCTTGAAATTCCACCGGCAGGCCCAGATGAAGTGATTCGAGAGACGAAAGCATCCGATGTGCTACGGCACTGTGGATGGTTAAAATTTCTCGTGCCGGGAGGAGCTCTCGCCAAACCCGCCGTATATGCAGGTCGGCCG